TCATCCTCTTCATTCATATTTAACCTACAAGACACACAAATGAAACTAGATTAGCAATGTTGACTTGAGTCAAGTCAACTCTAGTAAAAAAGTCAACCCAAGTTAAGGTCAACCAGTCAACTAAAATTAACTCTACTCAATTCAACTTAGGGAATTCAAATTAAGCTATGGAAAATAAAGATAGGGTAGAACTAAAAGACTCTCCTCTTGTCATGTCTTCATCACTTAACTCACATAATATACTAATCCTTAATGGACCGGATTATAAAGTTTTTAGTTCACCATAAAATAAATAAAAAAGAACTGAAAATTTTTAAGTAGAGGCGTAAACTTTTAACCCGCTTCTTTTAAATGAAAGAGACAAAACCTGGGTTTATTATATTTACATAAGACTCGAACGTGAAAAGTTTTCCATGAAATTCAAAGAACAGCAGGTACATGTGCTGCAAAATTCAATGGAAAACAAAAATTGAACGAAAATTAAAATATATGAGTTGAGATTTAAGAAAGAATAAACACACCACCCCTTGAGAATAAAATTAATATTAATAAATAATTATCACACAAATATAAAAACTTGAGAAAAGATTAAAAAATATAAAAAACTCAACATAATACTTTCTAATAAATTTGTTTAGATTAATTCAATTTTGTGTTATAAAGGGTGGTTATACAAAAGAGTAGAAAGCGGCATAATTCTTAAAAGAAATATAGGTTCTTACACTAATAATTTTACACATTCTGTTAGGATTATCAAATAATTTTAATCCTAACCTAGAAACCGATTAATATGAACATAAAAATGAGATATTTTTAATATTCATTTTGGAAAAAATATTGATATCATAATTTAAAAAGATAAGAGGTAAGTGATAAATTATAAGAAAAAACTCAAATTCCAATATACAAATATAAATGAGAACTCACTAGTACAAAACAGGCTTTTAACATCGGTTCCAGGGACTTTTAACATCGGTTCTAGAACCGATGTAGATACACCAATGTAGAAAGTCACACTTTCTACATCGGTTCCTAAGGAACCGATGTAGAAAGTGTGACTTTCCACTTTCTACATCGGTTCCTAAGGAACCGATGTAGAAAGTCTAATATTTTTATATATTTTATTTATTTTATTTATTCATAACCCCTCTCCAATTACCCTATCTATTGATCTAGAGGTCTCCTCTCCCTTTTATATTATATTTTTATTATTTATTATATTATTTATATTTTTTAGAAATTTGATTTATTATCAGATTAAGAGAATTGTCACTGGCAAGATTCGAACCCAAGTACCTTAGAGTCGGAGGCTGATACTCCAACCACTAAGCTATTAGGATTTTCTCGATAATAACTTATACATAAATTATATTTATATACAAATAAAAATGTATATCCATGTAAATATATAAATATAAAATATATAAATATAAAATATATAAATACAAATATATTTATATATTTTATATGTTGGATGTGAGGAATTAAAATATATTTTAGTGACCGATTCAAGTGACCGATTCATTGACCGAATTAGTGACCGAATCGATGACCGATTCGATGACCGAATCGATGACCAACTCGGAATCGATCACTATTTCCTTGGTCACTGATATTAGTGACCGATTCAATGACCGATATATGAAGGGATAATATTGATATATTAATATATGAGGGGATAATATTGATATATTGATATATTTGTATATATATATATATATATATATATATATATTTATATATTGATATATTTATATATTAATATATTTATATATATTTATATATTGATATATTTATATATTAATATATTTATATATATTTATATATTGATATATTTATATATTAATATATTTATATATTTATATTTTTATATGTGCAGGGGGCGTTTCGCTCGAGCGATAGGATTGTCGCTCAAGCGAAACACAACCCGAGAATGCCAATTTTGTGCAGGGGGCGTTTCGCTCGAGCGAGAAGACTGTCGCTCAAGCGAAAGACATTTTAGATAGCGGTTACACAGGAACCGCTTTTAAAACTCACTTAGATAGCGGTTAACCTGGAACCGCTATGATATCGTTCAATTATGATCGATCAGAATGCAATTATGACCGATCATATTTTGTGCAGGGGGCGTTTCGCTCGAGCGAGGGATTTTCGCTCAAGCGAAACATTTATTAATTCTATAATTTTATATAATTATTATTATTATAAATTTAATTTTCTAATAACTAATAATATTAACACATTTATTAAATTAAATTTCTTTATTTTAATTAATTATTTTAAATTTTTAAAAAATATTTTTCAAATAAATATGATAAAACTTAAAATTAATTTCTAACTAATAATATGGTTAATAGTATATTATATTATTATGTTTAATTAAATTTTAAAATAAATTTACTTAATCTTTACAATTTATATAAAAATAACTAATATAAACTTAAAATATATATCTAACTATTAAATTATCCAAAATATTAATATAAATTTAAAATATCAATTCAGTAATTAAAATAATTTTAATTTTTTTATAAATATATTAAACTGAATTTTTCGGTCACTAATTTCGGTCACTATTAACCATTTTTCTAGTAGTGTATAAAGATTATATGCTATATTATTATAAATAAATTATAAAGATTATATTCTATCATTAAATTACAAATTCATATAAAGAGACTCGCTCACAAATTTGACATCAAATTTTGAAAACCCACTTGACACACACTTTCACTCTCGAGCGCGCTCTCACATCCAACATATAAATATATAAATATATTTGTATTTGTATTTATATATTTTATATTTATATATTTACATGGATATATATTTTTATTTGTATATAAATATAATTTATGTATAAGTTATTATCAGAAAATCCTAGTAGCTTAGTGGTTGGAGTATCAGCCTTCGACTCTAAGGTACTGGGTTCGAATCTTGCCAGTGACAGTTCTCTTAATTTTATAAAATGACTTTCTACATCGGTTCATCTGAGAACCGATGTAGAAAGTGTTTTCTACATCGGTTCATCTGGGAACCGATGTAGAAAGTCTTGAATCCACTTTCTACATCGGTTCTTAAAGAACCGATGTGGAAAGACCGATGTTAAAAGTGATTTCTGTACTAGTGACTTTATTATAAAGTGAAATTTCAATCAAAATTTAAATACGATCTTAATTTAAATATGATCTTGTATTACAAATAACTTATAATAAGTTAAATGACTGTAAAATTTGATGTTCACACGTTGAAAGGGGAATATCATTCCATCTACCAAATTACAAACTTGCTGGCCAAAATTCATTAAATTCGGAAAAAACTTAAGCAAAACAAAATGAGAAGAAAACCATGGGCCGCATGTTATTATCCTCCAACCCACCGGATTATGTCATGTTGAAAAAAATAATTAAATAAAGATGTAAATTGTAACGAATCACAAAAGAAAATTTTTATATTATTAACATAGTGTAATAATATAGCTTATAATTATATTTAATTAAGGATAACTTCTGCCAAAAAAATTCACGTAAGCTCAACAATACTCTTTATCTTCATTTTCCTCTTTAGTACCTGTCTTAACCTTAGTCAACTCAAGTAGTCAAGGGCAAGATCCTCTCGCTTATTCTCTCACTTTGTAGTCAAGGGCAAGATATTTATGTTTTATTCTTGGAAAATTATAATTAAATATCTCGTCACGTGACTGATTCAATAAATCGATCATATGACGAGTCAAACTACTTGGACACTACACAATCTCTAGCCTTAAGTATAAAATGTTGAGGCTTTATATGTTTGTGTTTTCTTGATATCCAATCATCACCTCGTTGTGGTGGAAACTCTCTCCCCACTCTTTGTGAGATTGTTGAAACATCCTATCTAGTCACGTCAACTACATATACACATGTCATGTCTTTTGCCCTGTTGTCTCCCTCATATTATTTCTTCTTTCACTGCCTCCCTTGCGCTTCATTTCATCTTTACTTTCTCACCTCTGTTATCATTTTTCCCATCTTAGTTGTTTTCCTCCTTCCTCGTGCAAGCTCATTGTCTAGGTGTGTTAGTCCCATCTTAATTGCTCCTGGTTTTTATTTTTTAGCTATTTCTACTACTATTTGTGTTGCATTGTTCTGCAAATGGCTAATAAATCCCTAAAATAAATGAGTGATGTCATTTTGTACCCATGGGTTAAAACCGAAATTCTACATGAAACCTCTAGTTATACTATTGCAAAATTATTGAGGCGCTTAAGGCATAACCAACCCTTGAGTCGTTCTGGTATTGATAAGGATTTAGTGTTACAAGTGTGTGATCCCTCCGAGCCCATTTTTCGAGATCAAGAGGATGATTCAAAACTCTTTTTCTTTGTATATGATACTCTATTTAAAAAAGATAGGACTATGCTTACCTCTGTGTAATTTTGAAAAAGAAATTTTAACTGTGTTAAATGTTGCTCTGGCCCAATTGCATCCTAATAGTTGGGCCTTTGTCCGAGCTTTCCATATATTTTCCACCCATTTTGGTGTTGTCTTGACTTCTAGCATGTTCTTTTACTTCTTTTATTGTAAATCTTCGAAAATGACATCTTGGATTTCAGTAAGTGGAGTGCATGACTGAGCTTTACTGCATTTGTTCCAATTGTCTTATAATTAATTTAAGGGGCACTTTCTTAGAGTCCAAGTCCCTAAATCCGACTCATCTTTAGTGGAAGGATTCCCCCTCTACTAGATTGTCGATCTCCACTTCCAAATTGCCAAATAATCATCGGAGCTAGAGCATAATGAAGTTGATCATTGCACTTGAGTGGTTGAATATTGTTTTTGATACATCTACACTTCTTAAATTAGAATTCCGAGTTATTGACCTTAAATTTTATATAAGTATTCCCATCCTCCTTCTTGTCCTTAGTATTTTCGTTATCAATTGATTAACGATCCTTCAGTTTTGTGCAGAGAAACAAATGACTTTATCAAAGAAAGAGATGAGTTGACACATTCGTAAAGCTATGATTGTTGAGCAACACTCGACCAAAGTGATTCTGCTCCAGTTCGGGTGGAGGATATCGGCTCGAGGTCTGAGAGGACCGAGAGCAATGTGTGTCTTAAGCATAAATGAAAATCTACTAGCGAGCCTAAATCGAGAGCCATCACCTCGCCCCCTATCTTAGCAGAAGGGTTGCCATTCAGGGAAAGCCTCTTTGAAATGTTTCAAAGGCTATCAGATATGAATTGTGTATATACGGTTCAGGCTCTGCATAACTTGCTCTTGATGGCTAACTTGCTTGGCTCACATGCTAAAACGAAGGCCTTGGAGTTTGAGGCTCGAGTAGAATAAAAAAAACAAGCAGTAAAGTTCGAGAAAGTTCGAGCAATAGAAAAATTGGATTACTTCTTACAGGATCAGGCATCATGACTGAAGCGCTGCACAAAGTAATAGAGGATTTAAGGGTAAAAAAAGAGGCACATGAGTTGTTTCAGCAAAGACATCGAGCCGAAATAGCCTATATGAAGGATACAATTAATTCCCTAGCAAGGGAGAACAATGAACTTCAATGCTCGTAAGACGCTGCTAAGACCGAAATTGTCAAAATGTATGCCACCAAATTCGCTAGAGCTTTAGAGCAAGTTAATGTTCTCTTCCCTGGCGGCGACCTATCCGCCATGGGCCCTTTTAAGAGTGTTGTTGACGGGAAAATAGTGGATGAGGAAGAATAGTGGTGTATTGAACTTTATAATTTTAACTTTGAATTTTGTGATGCCATTGCATCGGCTTAAGCTATTTTGGTCAACTTCATTGTTTTGTGATAATTTTTATTGTTGTCTTTATTTTGGTCTTTGTTCGTCATATTTTCGTTGCATTTCCTTGGCATTAGTGGGGTTTCACATATGTATGATGGTCGAATACTTTTCTGTGTTCACCTTGATGTCTCTATGAGTTAACATGAAACCCTGAAATTTACCAGATCAAACACCGAATACACATTTTTCCAAGTTTAGTTTGAGGCAGTATTTATTGAGGGTCACGAATATCTTGGCGAGGTTTATTGAAATTCGTGTAGCGAAATGTTTATGGTTGCAGACAAAACCAAGAGGGGGGTGAATTGGTTTAGAATAAAAGTTAGGGTTTTTAAAATTTTTCCCAAATTTCACCAATTAAAATACTTGTAAAGTAAAGAGAGAAAGGATAAGAAGATCACACAAGTGTTTTATACTGGTTCGAATCAAAAGACCCTATGTCTAGTTGCTAATTACTCTAAAAGAGGATTAACGTTATCACTATAATCACAGTTCAAACAGATTACAAATACAAAGATAAAGATTAGAAAACACCTCTCTTGAGTCACACAAGAGATGAACACCTCCTTTGAATCCATAAAGGATGAACAACAACTTTTCCTAGAGATGGCATAACACACAATCCACCAAGAGTCCCACTCAATGATTCTTATCGCTTCTAGCCTACACTAGGTTTCAAAAGCCCCTTTTTCTTCCCTACACAAAGTTTTCTAGCAATCACAACTCTTAACTTTTGTATGAAAAAGGTTTTTTGTTCAGAGAGCCTTAGAGAACCTTAAGTAGAGAGATTTAGGATTCGAGGAATAGAAGTTTTCAAAAATAGGAGTATTGGAAATAGGTGCATCAAAAATAGGTCCAAATTCGAAATTCAAAAATCATAACAGACATAGATAATCGATTATCTTAAGTGATAATTGATTATCACAGAGCCATTTTCATAGAGAAGTAAACTGGACCAGGATAATCGATTATCCTCTAAGATAATCGATTATTCCAGCTAGGATAATCGATTATCAAGCCAGATAATCGATTATTCTAGCAAACTTTTCAAAAAACATGTTTTAATCAGGATAATCGATTATCCTAAGTGATAATCGATTATCACAGAGTGGTTTTGATAAAAATGAACTTTTAGAGGAGGAACTATGTGCTGGCTATCTTGGACTCTAAAAGATAAAACAAAGTTATTACAAGTAAATACAAATAATTATAAGTCTTCAAGACTTTAAGTCCTTTGTTCTTGAATCATCATCAAAATCATCAAGCATCATATCCTTGTATGGTCAACAATCTCCCCCTTTTTTATGATGATCAAAATTTGCTTTAAAGCCCTTTGTAATAACCTGTTTTTACTGTCACAACTAACAAAATATTAAACATACCAGACTTTAAATATTTTCTCCCCCTATTTTTATCATAATCAAAAGAAATTAAAGTTCACCCTCAACATGTGCATAGGAAATTAAAACTCCCCCTTAAAATGTGCAAAATATAAATAGAAGTTGATATAAAATGTGCAACATATAAAATAGATATTTTATTTAAGTTTGAACAAAACAATACAACATATAAACAGAAATACCTAAGCCTAGATTCTAAAACTCTTCACTGTCCGAGTTAAATTGCATATCAAATTTACTGATTTGGCACATTAAATCACAGATAATTGATTATTAGCCCAAATAATCGATTATTACAGAAATATTTTTTTCATGAATTACACATTGAAGCTTCAATAATCGATTATTTCACAAGATAATCGATTATTCCAGAGAGTTTGTCAAACTTAACATGTATTAGACACAAGATAATTGATTATTACATAAGATAATCTATTATTCCAGTACAAAATGCAAAAATTTTATAGTTAAGCAGAGTTTATGCTATTTCTAATATTCCTAAGTTTCTCCTAAGTTCATAGAATCTATCATTAGGAAGATGTTTGGTAAATATGTCTGCTAACTGATGCTTTGTGTCTATATATTCAATTTTACAATTTCCTTTAGAAATGTGATCTCTTAAAAAGTGATGTCTAATCTTAATGTGTTTAGTTCTAGAATGCATAACAGGATTCTTTGTGAGATTAATTGCACTTGTATTATCACACATTAAAGGAATGTCACTTAGAAAAATATTATAATCTTCTAGTTGTTGCTTCATCCATAGAATTTGAGCACAACAATTTCCAGTTGCAATATATTCAGCCTCAGTTGTGGATAAAGCAACACAAACTTGTTTCTTAGAATGCCATGAAACTAAGGATGATCCTAATAGATGACAGGTACCACTAGTGCTTTTTCTATTTACTTTACAACCTCCATAATCAACATCAGAATAACCTAAAAAGGTAGGATAAGCTTTAGATGGGTACCATAAACCAAATCATGTAGTTTCTTTTAAATATTTTAATATTATTTTTACTACAGTTAAATGAGATTCTTTTGGACATGCTTGAAATCTAGCACACACACATACATATTGCATGATATCAGGTCTACTTACAGTTAAGTATAATAGTGAACCTATCATACCTCTATACATAGATTGATTTATTTTGAAATCTGATTCGTCCTTATCTAGATAGCAGGATGTTCCCATTGGAGTGTGTGCAACTTTTGCAGTATCCATTTCAAATTTCTTGAGAATCTCTTTGTAGTATTTGGTTTGTGACACAAAAGTGTACTCTTTAAGTTGCTTAATTTGAAGTCCAAGAAAGAAGGTTAATTCTTCCATCATTGACATTTCAAATTCACCCTGCATTATCTTAACAAACTTTTGCAGTATCCATTTCAAATTTCTTGAGAATCTCTTTGTAGTATTTGGTTTGTGACACAAAAGTGTCCTCTTTAAGTTGCTTAATTTGAAGTCCAAGAAAGAAGGTTAATTCTCCCATCATTGACATTTCAAATTCACCCTGCATTATCTTAACAAACTTTTGCAGTATCCATTTCAAATTTCTTGAGAATCTCTTTGTAGTATTTGGTTTGTGACACAAAAGTGTCCTCTTTAAGTTGCTTAATTTGAAGTCAGTTGCTTAATTTGAAGTCCAAGAAAAAAGTTAATTCTCCCATCATTGACATTTCAAATTCACCCTGCAATATCTTAACAAATCCTGCAAACCAAATTCACCCTGCATTATCTTAACAAAATTTTGTAGTATCCGTTTCAAATTTCTTGAGAATCTCTTTGTAGTATTTGGTTTGTGACACAAAAATGTCCTCTTTAAGTTGCTTAATTTGAAGTCCAAGAAAGAAGGTTATAAGAATTCCCTTTTTATTTATTTATAATACCCTCTATCCTCCTCTATTTATCTAGAGGTCCCCCTCCCCTTTATATTATATTTTTATTATTTATTATATTATTTTAAGACAATTGTCACTTGGCAGGATTCGAACCTAATACTTTAGAGTTGGAGGTTGATACTCCAACCACTTAACTACTAGGATTTTCTAATAATAACTTAGAAATAAATTATATTTATATACAAATAAATGTATATACTGTGTAAATATATAAATATAAAATATATAAATATAAAATATATAAATACAAATATATATATATATATATATATATATATATATATATTGATATATTTATATAGTTATATATTTATATGTTGGATGTGAGGCGCGCTTGAGGGTAAAAGTGTGTGTCGAGTGGATCTTCAAAATTTGATACCAAATTTAATCTAATTAATAGAATAATTTTTTCCTTACATAGATTATTATAAATTAATCAAAATCATCTTTTAATAATTATTTTTTCCAGACATAGATTAATTTATAATAATTTATTAAATAAAATAATTTTAAAAATAAATATTTAATTATTTTTAATATTTGAAAAAATTATTTTAATATAAGAATTTCAATTAAATAATAGAAGAAAAAAAGATAAAAAGAATAAAATAAAATAAAATAAAAATAAATAAAGAAAAAATTTATTTTATATATTATATAAATAAATTATAAAGATTATATTCTATCATTAAATTACAAACCCATATAAAGAGACTCGCTCACAAATTTGACATCAAATTTTAAAAACCCACTCGACACACACTTTCACCCTCGAATGCATTCTCACATCGAACATATAAATATGTAAATATATAACTATATAAATATATAATTATATCAAAATATATAAATATAAAAATATATTTTATTTATATATTTTGTATTTATATATTTACACGGATATACATTTATTTGTATATAAATATAATTTATTTATAAATTATTATCGGAAAATCTTAGTAGCTTTGTGGTTGGAGTATCAGTCTCTACCATTAATGTAATGAGTTCAAATCCTGTTAGTGACAATTATCTTAATTTGATATTATTTCAACTTTTAATGTCAGTTGACTAAAAACCGACGTTGAAAGTGTATTCAACGTCGGCTCAGCTTTGACCGATGTTAAATGGTGACGTGGAAAGCATATTTTGTAGTAGTGTATACTTGAACTAACAAAATATGTTCTTTTACTTTCTTAATAAACAAAGTGGAATCAATTTGTCCTCTAGAAAAATCATTTGAAATTAGAAAGGTGCTTAATCTTTCATACAATGATCTAGGAGCTTGTTTAAACCATAAAGTGCTTTCTTTAATT